AAGAGGTATAGCAACATAGCATTTATACGGACCCAGGGTAGCTACAAGTCTGTTCCCAGGTATCGCGCGCATGAGACTTCAAAGCTGCGGATTGCTGTGCGTGTGTAAAGGTTATCAAGCGGTTGATGGAAAGGGAACTTGAAGTACTATACCTGGTAACCGCACTATAGCTACCCTGGGTATAGATCTATACCCCCCAGCATGTGCCGAGTTTACGTGTACCTTTTGCGGGCCACCCCCCCAGACCCCCTAACTACTCACTTCGTTCGCCAAGCACAACTCAGCTGGCGCCTTCTACGAAGGCTGGCTTTCGTAATATGTAAACACATAGAACCTGTGATGAATGTACACATAGTACCTTTCGGAAATGCACACTTGGACCGGACCCTGCCAGGTGCCAGGTTTTGAACTGTGAAAAATGTTGATATATAGATGTTGTGATTCTTGAAATTCAATCTGGCCTTGGGGCATCATCATATTTTTAACCTGCTTCAACATGAAAGCATCAGCCATATATCCTGAGCAAACCTAAGAACGCTTGCCGTGTATATAGATATTTTGACATCATACCAGCTATGCCATAGCAGCTAGAGTCTGAACCTTTGTGCAGCATCACACTCAGAACCCTGTCCTCCAAGATTAGAGCAAAAGGTAATGATAGCGATGATCGTCAGACACATGTGGCTAGCTACCCTAAGTTTGAAGTCCGGTGTTAAAGCTTTCATGTACATTGATACTTTGACATCACAGGTAGCTTCGACATAGGCTTGCAGCTTGCAGCATCACACAAAATGAAGGCAAAAGTTCATGATAGCCACTTTCAGTAAGCGATAATAGTCCTTGATGCCCATGCTTCAGTAACTGTGAAGCCCAATGATGATTTCCAATATTTGGGTTCGGCCACAAAATTTTACAACAATAATGTGCATTGCCTGAAATAGCTTCAAGACACTTAGAACCACTGGAAATACAAAGCTGCAAAGTTCTTGATTTGTGCGGTTCTAAGTAGTGTGCACTTGAAATGTTTGCAGCAGCATATATAATCAAAATCATGTCTATTCTAAAATAGGTTCTAAGTACTTGTCCGTGGCTATATATGTTCAAAAATAAGAACGTCGTCATCACGTGGGACTGCAGGGGGGCACCATGACTTGGCACCACTTGTTTTTTTCACTGTGACTTCTCGTGGCTCGCCTTTTCACCTGTGAGGAACAGCATTGGCACCTTGGCTGTTTTCGAACAGCATAAGTTCTGGAGTATGGTGCACGTATCAATCACGTATGACAGCACCAGGTCTAAGAAATGCAGAAATTTAAAACGGAGGCAGCCCTAAGCTGATACAATCAAAAAGTCAGAAGCTGCTTTGCACTGCCAGAAAACCCTTCACTGCCAAGGCTCCTCCAGGTCTGGAACCCTTTGAATGCTTTCCTAGGCAATTACAGCCGCAATTCATGTCGCACCGTTTGGACTTTTCTCTGGCCTTCACTCCACCGGCTGAAACTAGAATCCACAACAGTCCCAGGTTCTGTGTCAAGAGCAACTCAGCACGGCATCAATATGCTAAGCCAAGTCGCCCATTTTATGCGCAGGAAGTGCTTCTTCAAACTCTCCTCACAGCAAAATGTGGCTACCACATGTGCCACTGCCAACTCCACTCTTGGGCCAGCGGCAAACGCTAGGAGCGGAAACAGTGCGTTTACCTTGACAGAGAGGTGCGAGGCAGTGGCCGTAAGGTTTGCAGCTCGCTCCCGCCGTGAAAGTCTCAGCACTTCACGACATCGCTAATCGACGTGAACCTCAGCCATATAATCCAATAGAAAGGATGCATTCTCGAGCACCTGCTTAAGGCTGAAATGTTAGTTTTGGATTGTTGCCTGCTCTTTCTAATGTTTTGTTGTTTTGCTAGGTTGCTCCTTATGGCCCTCCCCTGCCGAAAGCCAGCAGGCAAGGACAATTATACCAGCATAGACTCCAAACAGCTTAGTCCGTAAGAATTGTTGTGGTGGTGGGCCGCAGCCCCAGGCCCAGCCTCGGAAAGCAGCGTCAAGAGCACAACAGCAGCAGGACAAAGGAAAGACAAAGGAGGACATGAGGAGGACAACAGAGGACAAAAGGAAGAGGGAAGGAAAACACCACGAACACACCAAAAGGATAAAGGAAGGACAAGCTGTGACCGGACAACGGCCAGGATAATAGGACAACATGAGGGGAGCACGCCAAGAGGAGAACGAGAGGAGTGAAGAAGGACAACAAGGAGGCAATAGAAGAACATGAGGAGGACAGGACCGAAAAGATAGCGAGTGGAGGACATCCGGACAGGGTTCGTGGCAAGGCTTGCGTGTGTGTGTTTTCTTCAGGGGACCCTTGAAATGCACTTGGGGACCGTGCCTCGCGCGTGCGCACGCCGTCATGTCTACAAGCTGCCATGTTTCCATCTAGACACCAGCATCAGCAGAAGGACAAGAAGAGGACAACGAGAGGACAACAGCAGGACAAAAGGTTTTTTTTCGTTTCAGTCGCAGCATCATGTCGACGCTCGCGTGGGCCACGTCTCCTCTGGACGGCCGTTGGCTAGGGCCCGCTCCTGCGTTCCGGAGCCAAAAAACCTTCCTACTCAGGCCAGCGAGAGTCGAGCTGCGCTAAGAACTCCGCAAGGCCCTGACCAAGGGTGTCGGTCTCATCTGTGTCACCCCTGATCTCATCATTCCTAGCTCTCACTCCGCGCTGCCGCAGCTCAGCGCCAAAAGCGGCCGCGCTTTCGCCAGCAGCTGCATACAAAGCCGGGTCAGCCGCCTCCTGCAGTGCTTCACTCAGAGCCGTGCTGTCAGCCAGTGCCCATTGGATGCGCTCACTGGGCCGCAACCGAAGATCAAAGATCGAGCCCATAGGTTCCAGTTCGCGTGCATGGAATGCTATCGCGAGGCCGAGAGGCGCCAGCATCTGACATCGATGTGGTTGGAGCTGAACGGGTCCCTTTTCAAGGTTCAGGGAACCAACACACCACACACACGGCAGCACTTCTTCAGTCCATTGCGGCCATGTGGCATTCAGATGTTGCATGCCAAGTTGCCACAACTCCCAGTGGTAGGCTGTGGCATGCTCCTCAAGGAGGTCGACGCTCATCACCGGGATCCCACACACCGGACAGGTGGTGCGCAGAAGCCTCGACAGCAAGGAGTCCCGCGCCTGGAAGATCCCATAGTTGGCATTGGCATAGCACCTGACAGCATGGGTGATGAGTTCATCCTTCATGAGCGCCGAGGGCGTGGCAGCTGGAGGACAGGTCAAGTACCTGTGGGCATCGACAAGCCAGACCAGCAGGATGTCCTGGCCCTGGTCCAGATGGAGGGCATGATCTTGCCGTGCTTCCCAGTTGTCCTGAAAGGAGACCCACCCATTGTGTCCCTGGCAGCAGGCACGATAGTGGCCAGCCTCATGTGAGCCTGAGTGCACGATCATGCTGGAGACCTGGTAGGCCACATGATCGATGGCCAAGTCACCTGCCTCACGAAAGCGAGGGAGCCAAATGACTCCATTGGGCGGCAGCTGCAAGCGCCACTCAGCTTTGGCGGCAACACCTAAGGGCGAAAATTGAGACTTTTCGATGTAGAGTACCACACATGTTTGAACGTGATGCAAGGCTGTGACCATGCCATACTGTGTATGCCACTCATCCACACAGTCTTGCAAGGGCAGGATCTTTTTGTCTTGGGCAGCCGGCGTCAAAATGATTGGACCAAGCTTTCCCCCTTGGTCGTGGCATTTGATCTGTGCCTCTTCATCCAATTTGCGTTCCCAGGTGTTGTCCACAAGGCGTGGTTGACACCATCCCAAAAAGTGACTGGTGAAGGAGAGCAGTTCCTGTTGCCCTTCACACTGCCAGCCATGAAGCAGAGCCTGCGTGGCCTGATCTCGGAGAAGGTCAAGGGAGTTGCTGGCCCGGCTGCAAAGTGATTGAAACAGTGCCGTGCCAACTCCAAGATCTTGCCAATGCAGATCGCGACATTGGAGCTGGGCCCATAGGAAGGAGACCATTGTGGCATTGAGCCAGCAAGCATTTTGCTGGTTGATGAGCTTCCAGCCCATCAACGTGGCTAGACCCTGGTCTAGATAGCACGGCCACCGCGCCCATGTCCTTTGAGGAGCTGGCTCACCAACTGTGTCGGGCGGACCATGTGCTGTCGAAGGCGGGCCTCCACCAGCATCCAGACTGAATTGTGACCCAGCCACGACAGTGTGTCGTACAGGTGGTTGTCGCGCATGCTGACCTGAATGAGGTAGGGTATCACTGTCTTCTTGGATGTCTGTGGTGGTTGGAGACTTTTGAACCTCAGCAGGAGAGCGGGGTTCTTCATGTGCTCCAGAAGGTCCTCCAGTGCTTTCTGAATCTTCTCCCCCTTGATAGGGGTCTTGTTGGGCAACACTTGAAGCTTCTTCTGAGTCGGATCCCATTGCAGGAATGGCCACGTGCCCTCGGGAGTGATGATGAGTTGGTGGATGGCCTTCTGCCACAAGGGATCCTGTTGGCCCATGGCTTGGAGCTTCGTGAAGCGGTCGAGAATCTCCTGTATCACCATCTGTCCCAGCACCACGCGTAGTGGTTGCGTGCTGGTGCCCTTGGTTTGCTGCTCTTTCCATTGCTGGGTCTGTTGGAGGATGTTTGGCATCAGGGACACGGGTCCTGCCGGCAAAAAGAGCAGAAATTGGTCTGTGCTGGCCAGCGCCTGCAATTGTGATTCGTGCCTCAACGTCAGGGAAATGAGCTGGCCCATGGTCTGTTGGAGGGCCGCCAGTTGCTGGTGTTGGGGCTGGTGGCCATCCTGTGGCTTGTTTTTGCCTTTTCCCTTGCCCCTGCCCTTTCCCTTCTGGTGCCCTCCTGGCGGTTCCTCGCCGTCCTCCTCCGGTTTGGCCCTCTTCAGTGGCGGTCGAGCCAGCAAGCCCCCCACCGCATCCTGCACCTGCTCCATCCAATCGGTGTCCTCCATGTAGTCCATCATGTTGTATGGCACGGATGAAATGGGCCAGGTTGAGGGCCACCGGACACCTCTCCGGGAGGTCTTGAGCCTCTATGCACCAGCGACAGCACCCCAGATCTGGGCATTGAACTTGATCATACATCGACTGAATGAGGACATGATCAATGGGGCGCGTGGTGGCCAAGTGAGTTGGCAGGTCATCCACTGGCAGGTGCTGACAGGCTAGACAGTGGGCTTCAAGGCTCGGGCGCAGGTGTGGCTGGCGCCAGATGGAGGCATAGTTGGCAGCAGTGATCATGGCCAACAGGTCTGCCGGTACCTGGGGCCGTTGTTGTGGTTGAAAAAGATGGCCTAGTACTCTGGCTTGCAAAATGATGGGGCATTTGTGGCCCGATCTGGCCGAGCGCGGCACCGGGCAGTAGCATGGTGGAGCATCTGGCGGAGCCTGGCTGTAGGCATGCTGGATCCAGGCCTGAGCAGCTGTCATGGTGTCTGCATGGTCATGGTATAAGTGCTTTGCTATGCCGGTGGTGTTCTGGATTCTTCTTCCACAGAGGCCACATTGTTGTTGCAGGGCTTCCTTCAATCGGGGGTCCGTGAGCTAGTCGGAGGGCTGGCCACGAGCACATAGCTGCTGGACCCACGGCCACTGTTGGGGAACATGGTCCCCTGCTCCCCGGTTAGCATCAAATCTCTTGCAGGCCAGTGATTCTATATGCATACGAAGGCCATAGAAGTTGTTGAAGGTGTTCCCGCAATGTGCACATTGGGTAGTGCCATTGGCTGAGTCTCGGGCAGGTTGAAAGGTGGCGGCCTCGACTGCCTCTCCAGCCTGCGCACGGAGGGCAGACTGGGAGAGCTTCCCCTGTGGAGGTCGAGGGGGTGCGACCAATTCATCAACAACTTCACTGCCCCGCATGTGGTGATGTTCCAGGTAAGCCACTATGGCCAACTGGCTGGCCGCTGGACAGGAGTGGAGGCGGTTGGTGGTGTTTCCACATCCAATGCAGGGTCTGCTGGTGGTGACCGCTCTGGCAACTGGACTCAAGAAAGCTTGTGCGGCATGCCAGATCTTGTGATGCATGCGGCTCAGGTGTTCATGGACGGCGTTCCGACTAGGCTGCCATTGTGCACATAGGATGCATCGATGGCGAATCATTTCCAGCAACCTCGCAGTTCCCACTGCACCCAGCCAGTCCTGCTGTCTGACTGCTTGCCGAAGTTCATCATCATCAGCCGGACACGGTCGTTCCTGCAGGGTTGCATCAAATTTCAAGCAACGTCCAAGTGAGATGTGCTTGACAAGGCCTGACCAGAGCTGGAACCGGCCATGGCAGTGTCGGCATTGCGGCATGTCGCCTGCAGCATCTCGAAAGACTTTGAACGGTTGTGGAGGTAGCTTGAGGGTGGGATGATTACGTGTGATGTGTTGCATCAGGGACATATGGGAAGGCATGCAAGTCGAACAGTGCGGACAGTTCCAGACTGCCTGTGGTGCATCGACTTCAACTGGCAGCTTGGGGACCAATGCCTCCAACTGGTCTTCAAAATGCTTGGCATATGGTAGAGTGTGCAAAAAGTCTGTTGGCGGAAGGACTAGGAGTAGGCCTGCTCGCTCATCTCGGAGTCGTGTCCAGGTGGTACGTAGGAAGTCTCGAATGCTGGGAACACCCAGTCTGGATCGAAGAGCCTCGGTGGTTTCTCTAGTAATGTGTGAAGGAGAGCGTGCGATTCTTCTGAAGTCAATGGTGCACACCGTTTCAAGCAGTTCAACTCCTTTTGGGGTCAGACCACTTGCCGACAAGCCATACACATATGAGGCTCTCACGCAGCTGGTCCACAGGCGGACTCGGCTACCAAGGCTAAATGCGTGCCGGCGTTGGAAAAATGCTCGAAGACGGGTGTATGTCAATCGGCCAACATGTATGCGATGTTTTAAAGTCTGCATCTCGAATGGGCCATAGCTTATCTGCGTTCCAAGATAGGTATGTTTGGAGACCCATGGAATGAGACTATCCCCATGTTGACGGGGCACCACAACACGCTTGCTGCCTTTGATGGTTTTGGTCCATCGTTTAAACAGCCCCGCCACCTTCGAGCCGGACATTCGGAGCAGTACTGCAGTTTTGCGCAGATTGACTACCAGCTGATTCGACTCTAGGACATCTAGCAGGTGACCGATGTCGGCCAAGGCTTGTGGGAAGTCTGCAAGGCAATCGAACTCCCATTTTAGGACAAGGTCATCAGCATATGAGATCAGGTGAGCCCTCAACCACTCCAGCGGTTGGTCAATGCGGACTAAAAATTGCATCAGAATATCAAGCAAACACACATTCCATTGGAGTGGGGAAGCAACACAGCCCTGGCGTGTTCCCCTTGTGGGAATGATGTGGCACGTCTGGCCCCGGTGGTCTATGTGGTACGCAGCTCCATGAAGCCATGCTAGGAGGAGGACCTTGAGATCAGGGGGGCAATGTACTTGATCTAAACCTGGCCCAAGCCTATCCCTTGGCATACGGTCGAACGCTTCAGAGAGATCTAGACTTAAGCATAGTCCTCCACCTATGCGACGCGGTGCCTCACCCGCCCGCCGCTGCCATAAGTTTTTCATGGCACTCTGACTCCTGGCGCGAACAAGACGGCAATGTTGGAAGACCGCAATCAGGGCATCGATGGTTGATCGACTGGGTAAGTATCCCAACAGGGGGGCCTGACAAAGACTCGGTAAGACATGCGGCCGGACCTTCTGGATCAAGGTTTGAAGCACGCACTTCCCCAGGATGTCCGTCAGGGCAATGGGCCTGACATCTTTCGGTGTGTGCACCGCCCTCTTTGCAATTGCAATGAGGGTAAGCCAGGCCGCCTGCCAGTGTTGGGGAATCGTGACCTTACGGTGACACCACATACGGATGAGGATCGAATGACAAATCTGGGCAAGATCATCTGCTAGGCCTCGGACCACAGCTGGCTGGAGTGAGCCAGGGGCCACGGCCTTGGTCATGGAGACTCGTGCCAAATTATATCGGAGGTCCTCAACCGTGAATGGCATGCATGACAGACGAACAGAGGGACTTGGCAGCTGAGGGGTAGACCCACAGTAGACGTTCTCGAAATGCTGTCGAAGGAGGTCCAGTTCGACCTCAGGGCTCTGGGCAAGCCCCGTGACTGCTCGAAAACGGATAGGCCTCTCGGGTTGCTTAGGACTAAGTTCACGGACAATCAGGTGGAGTCGACGCTGATCATGGACACGATCAGCCTGCGCCGCGCGGGTCATTTGCTCTTGGAAGCGGGCCCGTTTCTGCTGACGGGTATGTGCAATCATGTCTTTATGCAAGCGACCATGCTTGGTGGCATGCAGCCATGCTTGAAAGCTCGTGCGAAGGTCAGTGACCACCAAGCGCCTGAGTTGGTGGTAGTGATACCACATGTTGGCAGCATACCTGTGACTGGTGGGATGGCGCCAGTCCGGTTCCGGTCTTGCAGTATGACAGGTGGGTGTCCAGTATTCTTGAGACCAAGTACTTAACTGGGTTAGAGTGGACCAAGTGGGGTGATCAACCTGCAGCCTGGCCTGGGCCTGTGGGACGAACAGCTGCCAGGCTTCATCTTGGTCTCGACAGTGCTGCTGCAGTTCCTGGCGTTGAGTCCAGGTCCACCGTCTGGTCCGGGGTTGAGGGAGCTTGCGCCAGACCTTCCAACTTACTGGCAGACTGCTGAGGATCGGCAGGTGGTCGCGAAGGCCCCTCCACCCTGCCACGGGAAAGGTCTGATACACTCGACTATGTTTGACTTGGGCATCTTGTTGACAACGCCTCATGAGTACATGATCAATCGACGAGGTGCCTCCTGGGCCTTCGAAGGTGTGTGCATGGTCGTAGGTACGAACCGTGGCAAGCGTGTGCTTGCGGCAGAGCTCTCGAAGTTCACAAGCGTCCTGCGGCTCGGGAGATTGTCTATGAAGGTCAGTGTTGAAGTCTCCGGCAACTACAAGAACATTCCTGATAGGAAGATGTGTGAGGATGGTGTCCAGTGAGGACCAGCCCTCAGCTCTACTGTCAAAGGTTTAGCTCTGGTGGAGGTGACTTCAGTGGTATACTGATATACATGGACTATTTCAAGAGTCGTCTGGGCAAGCCGACATTTGACATGTTGCACCCGACCAGGGATTGGCGAGGAACTTGACAAGTCCTGCTGTCCGCACAGTCTGTGGTGGATCAATGTCAACAAGCCACCATGGTCTCTACGGTCCTCCGTTCCTGCAGAAAGGGCCCAATACCCATACGTGCTCCAGTCTTTGGTGTGGTTCCAGCGGGTGCCCTGAATGCATGCAATGTCAACAGCATGATGACTGAGATACTGCATGAGCTCTTGCCAAGTGGCGCTGGTGAGTCCTCCGGCGTTCCACGAAAGGAAGGAGCAGCGTGGACCGCCAAAGCGCAGAAGTGAAGCACATGGCCTCTGCAGAAAGGGAAAGGTCGTCCATGTCGAAGGCTTGCAGGTGCCGCCGGTCATAGAGGAGGTCGGAGGGGTAGTCTGTGGCAGAGGCATTCCCAGTGGCATCGAAGGTGCCATCAGCAAGCGCCCTTTGTACGAAGTGCAACCATCCCTCATCAAACGATGCATCGCTCTTTTATAGCTCTTCTTCATGCTCCAGGTTGAGCAGTGCCCTTTTGCCCCGATGGGGCCTTCTGGGTGCCCTTTCCCACGATTATTTTGGAGGGAGCTTGGGGGTACGTGACCGACCTGGTCTCCTCCTTCCTTCGTCGTGGACCGAAGGAAACCCTCACCTCTCGTGGACCAAAAACTTTGCGAACACATGCCAAGTTGCAAGGATCCACGCCCGGACTTGGGACCGGGATGCTCAAGGCCAGACCAGGCAAGGAGCAGCAGCTTGATGATCAAGCCAGCAGCTATCATGAACGTTGGCGAGTGCGAGCGGCGGGTCGAACCCCGCTACTGGGGGGCTGGCATTTCTGGCCACCTTGAGCATTGAGGCTTGCAGGACAAAAGGAGGACACAGGGTTGGCCAGCGCGGCCAGGGCAACAGCAGAACCAAAGAAGAGAAGAGGAGGACACAGGGTTGGCCAGAGCGGCCAGAGGACAACAGCAGGACAAGAGGAGGACACAGGGTTGGCTAGCTAGGGGCAGGCTTGGCCAACTCATTGCCTTTAACATTCCTAACGCAATACGCCGATCTGTATTTGTTCATACTGCCAACGCTCAAGCCGAAGTCGAGGCCAGAATCTTCCAAAGTTCCAAAAAAGCTCTAGCCACGAGATGTTGCAAAGATAAGGAAGCTTACAGTAGCATCTCTATTCCATGTTAAACTACGAATCCACTGCCAAAGCTTTTCCAGTTGGATGGGATCATCAAGGAAAAATGCTCAGGAAATTCAAACGTCCAGGCCAGGGAGTGCATCCAAAACGAGTGAATGAATGAAGGGGCCAAGCACGTGGGCAAAGAATAGAAGGAGACTGAGGCCGAGACGTGTTTTCTAGAATGAGACCTCGCGGGTATGGCCTGTAAGAGTTGAGGATATTGGCTCAGCATTTGGCTGACTGAGAGAAACGCTCGTCGCTACAGACTCGATCTGCTCAGTGCTGGCCCCTGCGCAAGCTGCTGCAGTTCGGCAGCTAGTGCAATGGCCACTGCCTGGGAGGGTTTCTCCAACTCGCATCATTCCAAATCCATTTTAAAAAACTTGACACTTTGCCACACAAGCTTTGCCGACCGACCTTTGCGTCGCAAGGCCCCTCTTGCCCTCAAACATTCGTGGTCAGCGAACTTAAGCCACCAGCGCCGCCCAGCGATCGGCCAAAGACGAAGAGCTGGTCACCATCAATGCCTCGCAAACAAGTTGAGTCTAAAAACACTGGCCAAATTGTCTCCAAGTTGTACCCATGGGCCATGGGGGAGAACAAAAAAAGCAGTGACTGCAGGCAAGGACACTCAAACCACTAAATAACCAGCAATAAGTTTCAAACGGCCACCTTCCGCCTCCTGGCAACGGCAAGTGGCATTGGGATGACTCACCGAAACGACTTGGAAATACGCAGCTTCCAGCTATGTACCAATACCAAAGTGCGTGCTATGTATTGTGCGGTTTCTACCTTCTTCAGCCATCTCCAGGCGCTCAAGGCATCCTGAAACAGGCAAAATGACATAAAATGACCACCAGCTTGGGTCAGGGGCGCTTTGCCGTTGTTGCCTCAATGAGGCCCTCTTCAGATGGAGTGCCTGCCACATCTGCCACCCAGTGGCCACGCTGAATGCTTCGTGGAGCGACGAAAACTCTTCCGCCTTCACTGAAGCCAAAGCCCCTGTAGTCCAGCGCAAAAACCTCGTTCAAGCAGGCAACCCCGTTGCATCACCGGCCCCATTTCTAAGACTTTGGAGCTGAGGTCGCCCACGTTCATCCGCAACCTTTTCATCAGCTGCTCGAAATTAGGGATGCGCAAGCCTATGTTCCTGCAACCCGCGGTCGGCTTTTAAAAGCTGTGGCACAAAGCAGCCCCGCTTTACAAGGAAACCCGTCTTCGCAAAGCCTACTCCTCGTATCCGCTCAAGTTTCTACTACACTCCCAACTCCACCTCGTGATGCCTTTGGGTTTCCGCGCCCTGCATTTGCATGGCAGAAAAGTAACGTGGGCGACCTCCGCGTTTCCTTGGCACTGACACAACCCTCGGTATTAACGAGGCCCCTATCAAGCTGATGTAGTGACTGGCGTCGACAACCATGTCCGCAAACTCAAAACTCCCCAAATAGATACCCACTCATTCGTACAACCGTTCATTCTCCTTGGTGGTGTGTCTGTGTGTGTGTGTGCGTGTGTGAGACCTTTGAAGTCACAAAGAACCGTTTGGCCTAGCATTTAGCGTTTTTTCGCTGATGCTTTGCCTCACCCTCTCTGGAATGCGGCGTGGTTGTGGGACCGCACTCGCTTAGCCAATCATGGGATACCAGGTCTGATCAACTCGGCGTACCTGCACCGGATTTGCGGCTGCTTTGGCCACTCTATTCTGGCCTGCAGATGTGCACTCATTGGTGCTTTTCCCTTGCAATTTTTTTCGTTGGAGCTTTTGATCTTGGACTTTTGAAATTGAAAACCACGACTTTTGAACTCGGAGCACATGGTCCCAGCATGAAACCAAAAACAGCGGTTGAGCACAATTCGTGCCCTCAAATGCGCTGGGGGCCACTCATGTTTTCATGCTCAAAGTGACGCCTTTTGACCGCACAACCGCGCGGGTAAAGGTTGCGGCGCTAAGGCCGCTAAGGGCTGAATTATACTTAAAACTTCAAAACCCGAACTCCACTCCACGGAAGCCTTTGCACCACAGGCCTGCGCCGAAGGTAAGCTTGTAAAGGAAAATGGAAGGAGAGGTCAACAAGGAGACAGAAAAGAAGAGCAAGCACCACAGCTGGCCAATCAAAAGTGGAGGAAGGGCACCACAATACGGCCACCCCATAACTCCACAGAGAAATTTGCGAAACGAAGCAAGAAGAGAGAACGTCAGCAAAACAAAGCACACAGCGACGGCTGCGCTGCTGTCTGATGGTCTGAAATAATAGAAATCACGCCAGCGTAAACCCCAGGTGGCAAAAGATATTTGTGGCACCTGCAGCGGCACCAACACCCAGGCACGCGGCCATACACATCTTATAGCACCCCCGCACCAGCGCCTGGCCCAGGCTCTAAAGCGAACACGGCCATACACATCTCTCCATTGCGCCGGCATGGACCCCAGCTACAATTATACAAGCATAGACCCCAAACAGTTTCAAAACGATTCGTTTAGACCAATACTAGTCAAAAATCGATTTCTTGGCACGCCCTACTCCCCAAGAGCAAACTGCTTCATCAATGAATTTTTGTCGGCGTTGAAATCGCTATTTGTTCGGCCACACTCCTCTCCAGTAAGCCGGGCGGAAAGAGGAAGACAAGACCCGGACACAGAGCCACAAAGCTCAGGTCTCTCGCTCTCGCTCTCTCTCTCTCTCTTTCTCTTTAAGTTTCTCTTTCTCTGTCTCTCTGCAGAGCGCGCTGTGAGCGCACCCTTCTGGAGCGTATTTCAGAGCGCGCACGGGCTCGCGCTGCTGTCTTTCTCTCTCTCTCTCTCTCTCTCTCTCTCTCTCTCCCTCTCTCTCTCTCACGCAGTCCATAGCACACGAGCGCACGTGCGCTCGCCCTGCCGTCGTTCTTTCTTTCTTTTCTTTCTTTATTTCTTTCTTTCTTTCTTTTCTTTTCTTTTCTTTTCTGTTCTTTTCTTTTCTTTTCTGTTCTGTTCTGTTCTTTTCTTTTCTTTTCTGTCTTTGTTTCTTTCTTTCTTTATTTCTTTCTTTCTGTATTTGTTTCTTTCTTTCTTTCGTTCATTCATTCATTCTTTCTTTCTTTCTTTCTTTCTTTCTTTCTCTCATTTTTTTGTTTGGGTTCGGTTCTTTTCCTCCTGCCTAGTCCCAACGGCCACACCGACAAGGCAAAAATGGCCGAATGTACACCCTGGACCAAGGCTCATTCGCCTTGCAATCCACAACGTGCAGGGCCTTCCAAGGCCTTCAGCTGCTCGAGCTAGTAGGCGCAAAGCAAAAGCGTCCTCTGGGTCATGGCCGCCTTGCATTCATTTGCCACCCATGCCTGCACCTTGCCAGCACCGATTTTCGTCACTTTGAAGCGTTTCTGACACTCCAACCATTGCTGCCGCTTCACCAACTGGTGCTGTGGATGCACTTGCATCCGGATTTACCCCACTGCATTTGCTGCGCAGTTCTTCAACACGGTCCGAAACCAGCACTGACCCCAAGTCAAAGCGCTGCTCCGTCATCCTGCTTTTCTCTCCCTCCACAGAGATCGGCACAGGCCCTCGTTCAGGGTTACCCCGAAAGCTGGCCATCTCCCTTCTTGCGGCGCTTGAGCATATTCTCTGTCAGTTGCCGTTCAAGCTCTGTCTTCTGGGAGTCTGTGTACAAAACGCCAACCTGCGCTAGTGCCTTAAGCACATGTTCATTGACATCTACATCTACTGGGGTCTCACTGACTTCTGCTGCAGTGGTCTCCTCCTTCAACAACTTGGCATAGGCTTCCGACTGAGCGGTTAGCTGCTGCTGTTCTTTGTCAATCTGCTCTTGGACTACCCTCAGCTCATCCAGGAGTAGCTTGTACTGGTCCTTGGCGTTGTCAACCCGCTTTTGAAGCCCAGCTTTTTTGTTCGATAGCTGACGAAGTTCCCCAACAGTGACCTTCAGCTGGGTGGTGACATCTTTGGGCTCCTGTTTCACAGGTGTCAGTAGTGTCTCCACTGCCTCTTTGACCTCTTTGGGTAGAGCTTCGATGTGAGCCTTCAGGATCTCTTCAAGTGGCTGTAGTTCCGGCTCAGGGGTGTAATCTATACCCACAACCTTCAACGCATCTTGGACATCCTTGCTCAAACTGGTCCATCCTTTCTTGAGGGCTTTCTCAACCCCAGAAACTTATGGTCGATTTCCCAGTCCAGGCAGTTTGTCAACCAAGACACTTCGATCTCGTCTTTCTTTCTTTCTTTCTTTCTTTCTTTCTTTCTTTCTTTCTTTCTTTCTTTCTTT